ACCTATGATCATTCCTTTGTTATTATTCTGGGCCAACCATATTGATCCTCGATCGACCACTCTAAGAGAGCTTCAATTTTTCTAGTACCTTCTTAGCATACGAAAGCTACCATACAAATAAGTACGCAACATCCGAACTCCAGATGCATCCAACGACTCTTTACAATTCATAGATAATAAATAACATGTTGTTATTTCCTATGCAGTATATATATAAAGCACACAACTTCAGGTATTCAATCTCAATTCAATCATCTTTTTCACATACTAACTTGAGGTAGAAGTGCTAACCTTGCATATGAATCCCCACCATGTTGTATCTGAATCTCTGATCTGCCATTATCACCGATCCTCAGTCCATTTATGGTTTTAGTACTGAACAATGGTGCCATATGTGAGAATCAACTTATGATTCTTGCATTTTCCACAACCTCACGTTCATTCCTCAATTCAATAGTTTGAAACCTAAAATTATGTTCCTCTGGGGATAAATGTCGCATAAGATTTCCCCATACCTTAATTTCCAACAAAAGAAAGCTTTGGTTTTGACTTCCTCTTCTTTACAAACCCTTGCTTTTGATTTTTTCATCTTCCTCAGAATCTCTCCAATTCACCTATTGATGAAAATAAAAGCTCCATTAAACCTCCTTTTTAACCTTAACCTAAATTTCACTCTTCCCCCAACTTATTCATATTTTCACCTCATTCCATTATTTTTCCAGTAATCCTAATTTTCACCTAAATATCATGAGTTCTCTATTTTCTTATTATTTTAATAATTTAAAATTAACTAAAATTCTAAATAATTTTCACCCGTCTCCATAAATCCCACAAAAATATCCAAACACACCAATAATTAAATAAAACTAATAAATCATATAAATTCACCAATATTCAAAAATAAATAAATAAAAATAAATTAAAAATTCAATTAAATAATTAATTAAAAATACAGGGCGTTACACTACAAACGAAGATAACTTTTTAATTCCTTTGGACATATCAAGGCTCGAGAAAGGATCGGTAGAACTGAGTAAAGGTTGTCGCTGAATGGAGGCTTGGAGCATAATTTTTGAATATGGAAGGTCAATGTCAAATGAAGACTTTGAAGGAATTAGTTACATTGATGTATACATCAAGAGCAAAGATTTAGATTAAATCTATTTTTAATTTTTAGCATTATTGTGAACAACTTGGTTGTAATAAAAGAGTTGTAAATAATTATGAATATAGTGAAAGACTACGAATTTTCAATAACTAGTGAAAGGATATTAGACTAAACCCTAACAAGGACAATACGTTGAAAAAATATATATCTAGTGTACATTCTCCTTTACCTTATCTCTTTTAATTCCCATATAAAATTGCATGTTTAATCTTTATCCTTTTCTTAAAAATTGCATGTTGCTAGGCTTTTTCAGCTCATAGTGGTTTTTGTTTAAACATAGCTATGTGTTACACCAAGTCTCTGAATTGTCTTCTTGGTGATTAAATATGTCAAACTATTATTTTAAATTTCTTAATCAATCAAGTGAATTCAATTCTCTTCTAGACTATTCTACACTTATATTCTATCAAATATAAATAAAATACTTATTTTTTATTTTTTTAGTAAAATATAAAAGGCTTGTGCAGCTAACTAAAAATACAAAATAATAAAGAGATAAAACCTAACATTATAGATAATGTTCAATCAATATATATTATAAATTTAGTTATTTCCTTAATTTTTGTAAATTATATTTTTTTTATTATTAAAAGTTATTATAATATATACTACTTCAGTCCTTAATTTTAGGTAGAGTGTTATAAAAATGGACTTGATTCATCTAGCCGACCCATTTTTCCTATATATAAATGTTGATCTGAAGAATATTTTAAAATCACTTAACTAAAATTTTTTATTATTCTCTACTTATGTAACTTTTGTCCATTACAATTTTTTATAAAATCAAAACTAAAATATTAAAATATAGGTCGAGTAGAAACTAAATTAAACTCATTTTTAATAGTTGATAAAATAATCGGAACAACCCACTTCAGTTAATTTATATGTTTTGGCTCCAAGCCGAAACAGATTGAACCGGACCAACCAATTTAACATCTCTAATTATAAGATTTTCTTGAATTTTTTTTCTTGTCACTTTTTATAAGTTCTTTTTCAATTTTAAAAACCTATCCCTAATTATATTAATTTTTTTCTGTAATATGTAATAAATGTTCTTGTATAAACATTAATTATTTCTCTCCTAAAAATAAACTTGTAAAATTATATAAATAGATCTAATATTTTAATCAACTAGATCTTAAGGAATGTAATAATAAAGACACAGAAATATAAAGAAATTTTACATCTTAGGGGCACTCTTCGAAAGCATTCAAATGATTAATTTTTTTTATAAAATATATATTTTTTATTTAAAATCTAAAAAAAAAATGCCCCTTTAAGTTTCTTTATGAAATTAATGCCCCAGAACTGAAAAAACGGAAATAAGTTGAATTGGTTGATTGAGTGGGTCCACTTTGTCAAAACCGCAAAAGAGAAACAGATAAGACAGTGGATAGCGTTTGTGAGAGAGACGATGATGACCGGTGCCTCCAACTCCATTACACTAGGAGGAATTGCTTCTTTCACTTCTCCAAACTTCTATGCCAATCTCGCCGCTCCAAATTCAATATCAACACCACCCACTTTTTTTTCCTCTCCCTCTCTCCATGGAGAAGAACAAAGGTACCAATTTTACTTCGTCATCACTCCTTACTTGATGTTTCAGAATCATAATTTCACTATTTTTCTTTTCTTTGCAGCTTACGTATTCTCTCTACGACAATTTCAGCTGTTAATTCAGGTTATTCTGAGGTTTATTATCTTTTGCTTTCTATATATATTTATAAACTAATCTTATGCTCTTGCTTTTTAGGTTTAGAAGCATCAACTACAAATTCAAATTTTCAAATGATATTTCAGCCTTCTTAACCGATATCAGTAGTTGTACAAGAATCAGGAGATGAAAATAAGATACAAGTGAGTGTCATCATTCACCAAAAACTAATTTCAATGTAGAAATGTGTATGGTTAAAAAAGTGTAATTGAATCTACCTCAATCTTACAAAACCAATTTGTAGAATGATGAGAATTGTCCCCACTTATACGCATATGTTCTACTCAAATATTATCCGATGTGAGACTCTTAACAACATCCATTGACTTATCAGATACAACATTGCTATTCAAGCCTTTGGACTTTTCGTAAATGATCAACTGCTTCTGGTGCTAGGAAACCAAAAGTAGGCAAATGGTACGAAAACATTTTGACTGTCGGAACACACCTTCTCATATTTGACCACTATACTTGGAGTGGTTTTAAGAGCTGCTTGTATCACAGTAAAACCTCAAGTTTTCCGTCCTACCAGTGGAAAAATCTCAGTCAAGTCCACACTCGCATGTTTTCCTCCTATCCACCCACACCAGAACACCTGTTGGCCTAGTGTCGGTCTCCTCTCATGAGGATCAGTCAAAAAATTTACAGGTGTCTCTTTCTTCCCAGATACTTCGCCTCATCGAAATATATCAATTAGAACATCTCTAACAAAGTCATTGTAGCAAACTCCCTACAATGAATCACGTGTTTTTCAAATGTATCCAAACACGCCTTGTGACAAATATGACAAACTTCATCAATAGAAAATAAGAGAATCATAAGATGATATCTCATAAAACTATGGTCCTCCACCTATAAACGTTTGATACAATAGATATATGTTTAATTGTTATCCAGACTATGCCATTAGTATTTCATGCAAACTGCAGTTTGCAATACAAACAAATTGTGGCTATAACAAGCCTTGCTCTTTTCCCTTTAGCATCCTGTTTACATCATGTAAAATAATTGTGAGGTGTTTCTATAACTTACCGCATCGTGTTGAGTTTATGTTTTTATTTTACTGTACCCAACTGTTTTGGACCTGGATTTCGTAATCTTATGGCTTAAATGGCTTACATGGAGCTAAGAGTGGATTTGAATGGTGATCAAACACGGAAGGTATTTGACCGAATTCTCGAAAACTTAGCCCGTATGGCACCACCAGTTCCTGGATTTCGAATCCAGAAAGGAGGTAAAAAGCTTCATTATTCTCCTGTTCATTATAGTTCATAATTTCATCAACATATGAAATTCAAGTTCATGGATTTTAACTTAATTACTTTGTACTTGCCTTGCGACGTGCGAACTGCTTCAGGGAAAACATCAGAGGTGCGCAATTTCCAATAAAGTTTAATATTTGAGCACTGATGTATGCAACAAAACATCCTTAGATCATGATTATATATGTTCTACTCTTTGTTGAAGATAACTCGGTTAGGAAATCCATGCAGATCCCAAAAAGCTTCCTTTTAGAGATGCTTGGGGAAGAACGCGTCGCTAAGTTTGTAATACAAGAAATACTCAAGTGTACCACGGCTGAATATGTAAAAAAGCTGAGTGATTTTTCTCCTTCATATGTGGCTGTCATGGATACATACAGAAACTTATTTCGTCATTTGGTTTCTCAATTCCAGGAAAACTTGGACGCGGAGGACAAGAAGGTTAGCACTATTCAAACGGTCCAAGTACTCAAAAAATCATTCACAGCAGGAAAAGAATTTGGTTTTAATGTCATGATTGAGCCTAAAAATTCCTAACGTAAATAACTTGTTTCGAGGGATTTAGCTGTTGTTCATAACCAGATCGATGATTAATGAATCAACAAGATCTGTCTCACACGAAGATATGCAGCTTCAAGAGTTATTTTGATAGTCAATTTGATGAGCTCATAAAACTAAAGATGGAAGATTCTTACATGAAACATAGAGTGAAAAATGTATAAGAAACTCATCATTAGATTATTCATCCCGAGTTTGCGGATATACAAAATTAACAGTGATATCTTGTAGACTTTGAATATCTTTACAGTCTCTCATATGCATATAAGCTGGAAACTTAGAAAAACTTGTTGTATGGTCATATAAATGAATCACGAAGATTGGAGAATAGACCGGTCAGGGAGTACTGCCGTAGATTTTTCACTTCATACCAAGAATTTAGAGCATCGAGATTCTTGTCAGTCCCTGAGAATGTCAACTGTATGCTGATATTGCAAGCTGTGTCGCCATTCTTTTGACACTGCGAGTTTGGCACTGCACAGTCTTGATTATTTAAGCAAATGCTTCCACGGGAACATGAATCACAACCGAAACTCTTCCAGAACAAGTTTTGAAGGGTTCCCTCTTGAAATTCAAGAACCTGTTAATCAAACAACACCAAATTTAAAGTTACATTCCTAAAGAAAATTTTGTTCCTACAAAAGAACAGATAGGCCATGTCAAATGATACCAAAGTGAAACTGGTAATTGTGTGAGTGTTGTCGGCAAACATAATCGGTAGCGATCTTGCCGCATATTTCTGTCCTGCAAATGCCACCATATATCCACCACTTGCGGCCTGATAAAACCCAATCAAACCATGAGTCTTGTAACGAACATCTCATATATACACAAAACATCCAATTTGAATAACGAGACATAAAACTGCGTACCAGGTCCAAGGTGCTCCTGTTAATTGTAAGCAGGGAGATTTCGTCGACCATCGGCCTAAACACAGCAAGTTGTGCTCCCTTTTTTGGAAGGTCGAGGCGAGAGTCACAAGGCGAAAGCTGTGGACCATTATCCGGATTGAAAGATTGCTTGCTAGAAAACGCAATGCCAAAGGTAAAACCATCTCCTTTCTGAACTTTAGCATCAAGACATGGACTATAAATATCATTTGTATCAGCTGCATCTGCAACAAACATAGCCATCATAGCAATGACAATCAACTGTTTCACCAATGCTGTTTTCCTTGTATTCAACATGCCATAAAAAACTTCTTCATCCATCCCCTTCTCTGAACAAAATAATGAAAAGCGTTACAACAAAAAAAGGAAAACTTAATTTTTGGTCAACCTAGAAAAGAACAATATGGTGATGGAAACAACGTAGTATCGACATTTGTCTTTGATTAAGAATTGGAAAGATTAACGTACGGCACATAAATCCAAGATAATAATACGATAGATTAAACAAGAAGAATTGGAAGATGCATTTAATTAATGATAAAAAAAATATCAAATAACTTAATAATCAAGGAACCGATTTACATGCCTTAAAATCAAATTCTTGAATTTCGTATCTCAAGAATGTTTGAGATCCAAAGGTGAGGCTTGTCTTGTCTGTTATTTCAAGAAAGATGGTGGCAAAGAAGCTGTTATTGAAGTTGTTATTTGAACCAGACTGGTAATATCGTCGAAAAATCAGTTGCTATGGGTAATGCCAATTCTTGGGAGAAAACCCGAACAAATATTAATGTAGTATATTATTCAATCCGGTAAATTGTGCAAAGAGAATGTTGGGATTTTGGGTGCATATAAATTTTTTTTTAATAATTATAAAAAAAATATTATTTGTATATTATTCATTTAAAATTTTAAGCATTAAAAAAAACATTTTTTATTTCAAAATAAAAAGCTAATTCTAATCACTTTAAAATTTTTCCTGAAAATATGGAACCGATGGTGATTTTGTTATAGATTTTTTTGAGAAACAAAATCATTTTAATCTTTTTATGGATTTTGTTTGAAATAAGGATGAAGACACCTGTTTGAAATTTTTAGAAAATCATTTTTATATACTGCCTTAATTTATTATTAGTTAGTCATTAATTTTGGGTTTAATTTTTTTGTTCTTTTAATTTAATTTAACTTTTCATTTTGATTTTCTCCCACAAAAAGATTCAATTAGCTAACTTGATTCCTTCTTCTGATAGCTACCTTGATCCCTTTTATTAAAATTTGAGAACAAATGTTTACTTGTGCATATATGACAATCTAGTTGGTATAATGTAATCTAACATGACTTTTATGTTTACCTTTAAATTATTATTATTTGAAAAGAGACAAACAAGTGAACCAAAGTATCCTTCATTTGTTACAAAGTCTAAAATTCTGCCACAAACACGAATGAATAGAAGACAACGAAGAGTGTGAAACCCTAGATTCCCAAAAGACGAACATGAACGAAGAGAAGACGGACGAAGATAAACAATTATTCATCTCCATTCTTCAAAAGATATGAAAATCTAAAGTTATTAAAAATGTAAACTTTTAATTTCCGCATCTTCGTCTCAGTGATTTTTTTTCAACGTTCTTTAGATTGAATAAATAATGGATGAGAGGTATGAGTGTGTTTTGCATTTTGGGGTGAATTTATTGAGTTTACAAAATTCGGTTACAATGGGGGTTAAAGTATGTATGGCAATGTGATCTTGATTTCTAAAGTTACTTTGACGTGTTGAGTGATTTAAAGACTTTAGGGTACTAATTGGGAGAGCTTGCGGTATTATCCATCCGTGTCACAACCTCAAATAATTGAAGAGTTGTCACTTTCCCTTGAATACAATGTTGTAGGGTCCAATGACAAAGAAGAAAAATATGTTGTAGAATCCAATATAGTGGAATTGGATGAAGATGTCAATTGTGAGGAAGGGAATGATATGGAAAATGACAACTTTGAGGGAGGGAATAATGTGGAAAAGGGCAACTTTGAGGGAGTGACCACTATATTTGATGAAGACAATGTTGAAAAAGACAAGTTGGAGGAAGGGACCAATGCATTGAAAGAAGAAAATGTTGAAAAAGACAAGTTAGAGAAAATGGTTACTGCATTGGATGAGAAAAATGTTAAAAGACAAGTTGGATGAAGACACTAATGAGGGATGAACCACTCATGCGGTATAAGACATTAATGAGGGAGGAAACATTGATACAATAGATGTGAGACTAAATTGCAACACTTATGGAGTAGGTAAGTGACTAGATTATGGTACTAAATAGACTTGGGATTAGATTGCAACACTCAAATAGATGTGAGACTAGATTGTAATCAAATAACTTGGAAATAAACTTTGAAGATTCAGAGGATGACATTTGTATTGTTGAAAATTTTGTTGATGATGAAGAATTATTAGAAAAGGAAAAAGGTGAAGAGAAAGGAAAAAAAGGGAAAGGAAAAAGGAAAAGCAAGGTTGGAAGACCATATAAATAACAAAGTCAGGCTTAATGTAGTTCTAAAGGGAATTTGAGTGATGATGTGAATGAAAATGATGAGACAAGCATTGAAGAATATAACAATGATAAGTTGTCTAATGAGTATGACAATGAATATGAAGATAGTTCAAAGTGTGCTTTTCAAACCTTCAACCTTCCAAAAAGAATGAAGGATTATAATATGTTAGAGGCATTTATTTGAATCTTTGTAAGTGCTAGGGGCAACCCATTGTCACCATGATTAAAGAAATCCCAATTTATCTTATGTTTATGTGGTAGTCAAATCGGAAAAAAATTGCCAAATATGAAGGTAAAATTCTATGAAATATAAAATAAAAAAGTATCACAAAGGAGTCAGAAAAAAAAACAATTGGATTGTGAGACAAATGAATTGTATTATGTTATATTCTATTTTGAATTGTATTCTGTTTTGTTTTATTTTGAGTTTATGAATTTACTGTGTTTTAAAATTGTGAATTCTACATGTGTTACAGGTGTGCTGGTGAATATGATTATGTGGTTAGGCATATACCTTTCATTGCAAAAAAATATATTGTCAGTTTATTCAAAAAAGATTGCTCATGTAGTTGATAGATGCTAACAGAGTTGCTTCGCTGTCATGCAATTTCATACATGGAGGATCATCATTTGAATATAAAATATATTTTCCTTGACTGCTACAGAGAAATGATATGAATCTTAATATGAATCCATTATTTATCTTGTTAATGGTGAAACTATGTGGATAATGAAATTGCAGTCACAATATCGTCGAAACTATGTGGATAATGAAATTGCAGTCACAATATCGTCTTTTAGTTTTGATGTTTTAGTCAATTTGTGTGTATGCATTATTTGATTATTCTGGTCGCTAATTTGCGTGTATGTGTTATTGTTTGCGTATTTCTAATGTGTTTGTTATTTGATTATTCAATTGTTTGTAATTTATTCGCATTTGAATTGTATTTTGTTCGTTTTGGCTATTTAGCATTGTACCTTAAGTCCCCTTATTACTCAATTAATTAGAATGTTGGTCCACGATACCTTGTGATCTTTTTTAGCCTTGCAAGTTTTTTTTTCTTTGTTTCATCAAGTGTTTCTTGGATAACAAGTTAGAACACTTGAATCAAGGTGTTGAATTGCTTGATTCAAATCATGTACATTGTCTGATTCGAATCATACAATTTAAGAAAATTGGATTTTAGCGTCAAATTACAAGTTTAACTTGACTCGAGTCACAAATTTCTTTGAGAGCAAGAATTTGGCTCTACTAGATTTGATTTGAATCATAAATTACAAGTGACTCGAATCATAAAACAATATGACTCGAATCCTGGTTTGCACTTGACTCAAGTCATGGGTTTGAATAATAGTTCAAATCATAAATTCAAATTTCCAAATTTCTATCTTAGATTTAAATAGTTGTCTATTTTATCTAAAGAAAAGAGAATATCTTATTATGAACTTTTTCATGATGAAATACTTGATGAAACTTTTAGAAAAAAATATCAATTTGTCTTTTCTTATCTAGTGTGTCTATTCCTAGAACCTTTGTATCCTTTTCTTGTTTGAAAACAACTACTTGAGTTCAATTCATGGCAAACTTCATCTCTTTTTTGTTACACCTTGTGTGTGTAATTTGATGTTAAGGGAAACCAGATAAAGAGAGTTGATCAATCTTGTAATGATTCAATTTAGATCAAGGTCGTGATAACCATTAAGAACCAAGACCCGTTTTATCCAGAAACTTGAAAGAACCTATATATGTGTTCTTCATTCACTAACATCTATATCCTAAATGATACCTTGTGATTGGCATTCTAAAATTTGGATCTTGTGAACTAGATTGTGTGTGTGTGTGTATGTGTGTGTGTGTGTATGTGTGCGTATGTGTGATTCTTTTGGCATTGTTCATTATTTTCAACCATAGTCCTAATCCAGTGTTGTGGACCATCATCTTTAAAGATTGAGCATTTGAGGGAGACTAGTCGTACATTAGGGTATCTAATGTTTTGTGTGAAGTTTGTTGTTCGTAACAGGTGCATAGATCATTTCTTAAACACAGTTTGGATGTTGAGTTATCCATCAAGATGAGAGTTTTGATATACTCCATGGAAGACTTTAGCGAAGTCGAGTACGGACTGTTCGTAAGACGAAGTAATGAGTTGCCTAACTTTGGTGAAGTTATGTAAAGTTTATTTGTAGATAAAGTTGGGAGTTATCCAGTTGATCGCTTAGTTAATGACAATTGCTTATACAAAAAATCAGCGGGATCAAGGTGGATCGCCATATACGAAGACTTGAAGCAATTTATTATGGATAGTAAGATTATTGGATCAAGATCATCGAGGATCTTGTTTTTGTTAGATGTTTAAGTATCTGCATCAACAGAGGAGGTTATCGTGTTATATTTTGTTGTAGTTAAGATGCTTGTATCAAACTTATGAAATAATGGAAGATGATGCTTATTTTTTTGATGGTTTTAACATCATTGAAGAGTGGAGTAGGAAAAGCAATGATGAATTGTTGTCCACTGTATATCTTTGTGTACCTTTCTTTCTTCCCTTATCTCCTTCAATTTTCTACATCCATTACTATAACTATTACATCATTGCATCATTTGGATGTCAATAGGTTAGATCTTGCTCATAACAATTTAATGTGCATGCTTAGGTCTGCGATGCATCAAACCTATTGGATCATCATAAATCCAATTATGTTTTGAATGAGTTTCTATGTAAAGGTTTTCAAACCACTTTGTTTAAAAGAAGCTTTGGTTATCTTGTAATCTATTT